CAGCAGCGTCGTTTTTGCAGACTATGACTCAACATGTCTGGGATGGAGACTGCCGGTGTGTTGTTCAACATGGGCCCGAGCTGGCTGACGACCCTATCGCTTTGCAAACAACCCAATGGGCACGTAAAGGACGAAGCAGAATCAACCTAAGCACTGCTCGTGAGGCTCCGTCTCTCGGTCTGTGTTTGTCTGTACGTCTGTGTTTGTGTGTGCGTGACTCTCTCTCTCTCGCTCTTTCTCTCTCACTCACGCACGCACGCACCACGTAGGTAGGCACGACCGCACGCACTCACGCACTCACGGACTCACGCACTCACGCACGCACGCACACACGCACGCACGCACTCACTGACTCACTGACTCACTGACTCACGGACTCGCTGACTCACTGACTCACTGACTCACTCACTGACTCACTGACTCGCTCACTGAATCACTCACTGACTCACTGACTCACTGACTCACTGACTCACTGTCTCACTGACTCACTGACTCACTCACTCATGCTCTCGCTCTCTCTCTCTCTCTCTCGCTCGCTCACGCAATCACTCACTCACTCACTCACTCACCCACCCACCCACCCACTCCCTCCCTCACTCCTTCACTCCCTCACTCCCTCACTCCCTCCCTCACTCCCTCACTCCCTCCCTCCCTCCCTCCCTCCCTCACTCACTCACTCACTCACCCGCCCACTGAGTCACTCACTCACTCGCACGCTCACTCCCTCACTCACCCGCTCCCTGACTCACTCCCTCAGTCACGCAGTCACTCCGTCACTAAGTCACTGAGTCACTGAGTCACTCAATCAGTCACTCAGTCACTCAGTCAGTCAGTCACTCAGCCACTCAGCCAGTCAGTCAGTCACTGTCACGCAGTCACTCAGTCACTGTGTCACCCAGTCACTGAGTCCCTCAGTCCCTCAGTCACTGAGGCACTCAGTCACTCGATCAGTCACTCAGTCGCTCAGTCAGTTAGTCAGCCAGTCAGCCAGTCAGTCAGTCAGTCAGTCACTTAGTCACTCAGTCACTCACTCACTCCCTCACTCACTCCCTCACTCCCTCGCTCCCTCGCTCCCTCCCTCCCTCCCTCCCTCCCTCCCTCACTCACTCCCTCACTCCCTCACTCCCTCACTCCCTCACTCCCTCACTCACTCACTCCCTCGCTCCCTCGCTCCCTCGCTCCCTCGCTCCCTCGCTCCCTCGCTCCCTCGCTCCCTCGCTCCCTCGCTCCCTCGCTCCCTCGATCCCTCGCTCCCTCGCTCCCTCGCTCCCTCGCTCCCTCGCTCCCTCGCTCCCTCGCTCCCTCGCTCCCTCGCTCCCTCGCTCCCTCGCTCCCTCGCTCCCTCACTCCCTCACTCACTCACTCACTCACTCACTCACTCACTCACTCACTCACTCACTCACTCACTCACTCACTCACTCACTCACTCACTCACTCTGTGTGTCTGTCTCTGTCTGTCTCTGTCTCTGTCTGTCTGTCTGTCTCTGTCTGTCTCTGTCTGTCTCTGTCGGTCTGTGTCTGTCTCTCTGTGTCTGTCTGTCTGTCTATCTGTCTCTGTCTGTCTCTGTCTGTCTCTGTCTGTCTCTGCCTGTCTGTGTCTGTCTCTGTCTGTCTCTGTCTGTCTCTGTGTCTGTCTGTGTCTGTCTCTGTCTTTTTTGTTTGTCTGTCTGTGTCTCTCTGTGTGTCTCTGTCTCTGTCTCTGTGTCTGTCTCTGTCTCCGTCCGTCAGTCCGTCGGTCCGCCTGTCCGTTTGTCTTTGTTTTTTCATGTTTGTGCTTGGGCATTGACCTGGATTGAGTGGCGCTCAAGATGGCCCGCACTCCCCACGCAGGCATGCGCTGGTGCGCACGATGAGCAAACAACAGTCGACATGCAAAGGCAGCTGCTATCGGCGATGCTTTCCTATCTAGGCATCGGAACATGTGCGAGCTCTTTTCTTTTGGTTTGTTTTGCTTTTGTCTTGCTTTTTGTTGGGGGGGGGTGGAGGTGGAGGCTTCCACTTTAAACATGCTCAAGCTCTGACGCCCGAGCCAATGTGCGCTTGATAGTCACTGGGGGTGTTGATATTCACGGACTACGCCTGCATCTGCTCACCTCACGGTACAGTTTGATATGGTTCCCAAAAGTCTTGCATGTACTTCTCCAGGGTACAAGCCTCAACAACGTTGTGACCATGCAGCACCCAGGCCCTGACACTGCCCTGCGTGGCAGCGCTGCTTTGGCCTGGGCCCTGGCCTGGCTTGCGTATCACGGCCGACATCAAGATCTTACTGTCGCATGCGATGGCATGTCCTTCCGGGCCTGGCAGCAATGGAGCACTTAGCGCGCCAAGGCTGGAGGTGGCAGGGGCAGCGGGAATGTCCTCAGAGCGGAAGGGCGATCGCTTGGCCCTATGTCTACCTGAGGTTGGCAGGCAAGCAGCATCGTGGGGTGCCAAATGCAAGGCCAACGCCTGCTCCACCTGAGCTTGGGACATGGGGTGTTCAAGAGAGCCGAAGAGCCGAATGGCTCAAACAGATATTTGCAACTAAAGCCAGCTGCCAAAACTGCCAAGGTACGTTCCAATTGCAGCTTTTCAGAAGTTCAACGGAGGCTGTCTCACCCCGCGCATCCGCTGTCACCTGGCACAAATCTGGCATATTGCAGTCAAAGTCTAGACCCGTTCTTGCCACGCCTCACGGAAAAGCGCCAAGGCCTGGCGTTCGTCCTCCGTCATCGCCATACCTATCAACTTGGGGTTTGGTCAAAGCAGGACAAACAAGTCGTGGTCTTGCGGTGCAAACATTTGCAGCGCTTATCGTATTTGACTCCATTGCAACCTGTTTGTCGTGCTTGCCATTTCTCTTCAAGCAAACCTGGATCCTTGGCGTAGGCGCCAGGCTGGAGAAGTGGCCAAATGCTTGGATCGAAAGGAGGCCTTCTTGCAATCGCCATCTGTTGGATATGTTATTCTTCTCTTATGCACGTCTGCTTGATCACCGTCCAAATAACCCAACACGGTTTCATGTTGTGCTTCAATGATCGTCGAGTCCCCATCCTTCTAGGAGCTTGTAGCAAATGTTTCTTGATGTTGCGGGTGTCGCGGTCTTCTTATTCTGTGACCGAGTTTCAGCCTTTCTCATACAGTACTTCACCTAGTGGGTGAACCTTTCGCCGGTAGTTCGGTGCATTTGTGTCAACTCCATTCGCCCTGCGATAAACTGCTTGGCTCGTTTTAGCTCTGTCAGTGTATGTGGCCTTCACACACATCCACATTTCTTCCTTCACCCTTTGAGTTGGAACGTGTCCATCTTGGGCCCATGCAACCAAGAATACACAATTTGTCCAGCAACAGGAATCAGAAAGGTGAACATGGACATATCTCTGGTCGAATCAGTTTCTGCCGTTGAACCGCTGTGGCAAATTGATCCTCGATCTTCTCACAACCAATGCATGGTCATGAAACAAATAGCCGGCTTAGCCTCCGGAGGATGCTAACTTTCTGGTGACATGCATGGTCGTCTGGAAAGCGTATGGGGACACGAACGACACACACACACACACACACGCCCATCAGCTTCGTGAACTGGTAGGACCAACACAAAGCCGCCACTCACTTGACTCTGCTGACCACTGACGAGTTGCAGCATGTTCCCATATTTGCCCCCAGTGCCTGATGGGCGTGGCTCCAGCCACGCGAAAAGATGTTCTAAGTGTCAGCCTTGAGCCTCTCAGATTCTGCCCGTGCGCGCATGTCATATCGGCTCAAGGAGGACGCAACCAACATCATGCGGTGTCGCTTTAAAGATCCGGACGCTTGAATATAGGCCAACAACAGGATTTGATGCTACCTCCGCAAGGGCTATCGCCGGCCCGGCCAACCCAATTTAGATTGATACCTCGTATTTCTTGAAAAGCTGTTTTCGGCCCGGCTGGAGAGCTGGAAGGCTCTGGAGGTGTGGCAAGGGTACAGGGCTGGAGGCTCCAGGGCTCGTGGCACGGCCAGCCACTTTAAAATATAAAATATAATCGCCTAACATGACACATTCTCTGGATATCCCGTTTGTGAGGCAGTCAAGCATGTGTGCCTCTGTACATACGCTAAATACATCAACGCTCGCAAAAGCTTCAAAGCTGGCCATGTCGCTTATTTGCGGTCAATGCGTGTTCCAGTCCAGGAACTTGTTAAGCGAGCCTGCTTGCTAGTTGTCTAGCCCTGCTCAGCCGTTTCCCCATAGCTGATCTTTGGTCAAGTCGGGTTGATAGAGGGTCTACTACAAAATTGTAGTGAGCAAAGCAGGGTGTGCAAGTCTGGCAGTTTCAAGAACACCTGCTCCACATGTCGACACGCACAAAAGCGCAACTACACAAATACACACAGAAGGATCGCATTGTTTGATTGTGACACAGAATGAGTAGTCGTGCAACATGGAGCTTCCAAAAGGGTGAATTGATTCCCTGCCGGTTAAACCTCATCGGGACGGACCTTGATCCTACGACTGTAGTCAAATCCGACGCCGCGAGTTCTGATTTGGATGGGATACGTAGGAGCATTGCAGCATCTCGCCAAAACAAGTCTAGGATGTCTATCTGGCAACATGCAGGACACAAAACGGACGCGTCATGCTTCCTTCCTTGCTCTCTTTGTCTTTCGTGAGGCTGAGCCAATCCTCAAATGGGACTCCCCTCTCACGGAAGCAATAGGATAAATACTGGCGGTGAGTTTGTTGCTTGCCCACCAAGTGGCACAAACCCAAGTTGGCTTCATGTTGTGGTTGAATAGTTACACACGTATGCTCTTTGGCTTCCCAGGTGGATGTTCCTCATTACACATGGCGAATCCCGGAATCATGGGCTCCCCGTTGCTGCCGTAAAGGGACCGTGTTTGGCTCCTCAAACAGATACCGGGGTTGGTGGGATTGCTCTCAACGCCACAGCCCCTAGTCAAATGCGCCACTTCTTCTGTTCTAGAACGTGTCTGCTATGCTGTCTAGGTGCTTGACAAAACACTGGGCATCCGACCATAGCTGCTACTAGCCAACCTCAGATAGGGCTTGCTGTAAACGCTGGCCGCCCACAGCTCTTCCTGCCCTTTTTGAAAGTATGGAAGACTCGAATCAAATAAGTAGTGGGCTGAGCGGTGCTTGCAGAACTTTGAGTATGCGATCTGACGGACTGCGCCTCTGACCTTTGTGCCTTTTTTAGACAAGGCAACACCTTTCGGCAACATCCCCAGCACCGCCCGCAAGCAACCGAACAAGCAAGGTGGAATCGAGCTGTGAGAATGCCCAAAGGTCCAAAACAAGCTTGCCTAGACGCAGGCAGATTTGGAGCCGACACGTCACCACTGCTCGGACGCCAAATGCATCCAAATGCTCCCCGATCGTCAAGTCGGCCTACCCTGCAACAAGACTCACGCAGCTAATCCAGTTGCCGGGTGCTGGAGAGCTCGGAGTTGCTGGCAAAGCGCCGGAGAGGTGCCAAAGCGATGCTTTGTGCTATGCAATCAGCAAGCGAGTCCACACACGATCGCGCCTCAAGGAAGACAAGTCAAGCTATACCAAGCCATACGCCCTTCCCACACGCTTCCCCTTTTCGGCAAAGGGCCGGCGGATATAGTTTTTATCTACACATACGCTACACAATATATGATTCGTAGTTTATTTTGATTGACTTACTTTTTCCGGAGTTCAAGTGTCTGTAAACTGATCACCAGGCCCTCCAGCGAGACCTGCTTCCGGCCCTCGGAGTGAAGCTAAACCAAAAACACTAGAGCTCCGAGAATGTAAGTTCAGCAATGTGAATTCAAAATTAAAACACGGAGCCGGATGGAATTAGTGTGTTTCGTGGAATCACAAGCTGCTCACTCACTTGCTTGGTCCAAACTACACAGCTAATATGCTTTCGCCGAAGGAACACCGCCTGTGCGTGTCTGTGTGCGCGCACGTGAGCTCGTATGTTTGTGTTGGGCCGACGGTTGGCAGGTGTTCTTCGTCCACCTAAACAAGTCAACGAGTTCAGCGCATCAAAACCGCGTGCACTTTATCTGAGTTTTCGGTTGTATTTCCGTTTGGGGGGAATTTAGTGACATGAAAGATCCTCAGGACATCCTCAGGACAAGGAGGCAACAGCTATTGCCGGGAAGCTTTCTTGCGTTGCTTCCTGATGCTTCAAGGAGACAAGCTGGAACGCAAGAACCAGAAGCGTCAGTTGTTGTTCACTTCTCTCGCACAACCCTCTGCGTACGTTCGGGGGGTCGACCATCCAAAACCCCGTGGTTTGTTGTTGGCTCGGTCGTCCGGTTCACGCGCACGCACCTTGGTGTGCACGCCTGCCACGCTTTCCTGACATTGCCTTACGTGGCGAAAACCGCCCGTTTGTGCGGAGACGCAGCACACGTCTCCATGCACCAGCGCAGCTTGGGGTTTGGGAAGGGGTTGGGGGCATGTCTCTGTTCGTGTTGTGGTGTAGCGTACCGCTGTTGCGTGACGCGCGTCATGACCTGTGTGCCCGCAGCTCAAGTCCGCCATTCTCAGGTCCGGTCGTCACGCAGTACCGCAGCCCTGGGGGGGTGGGGTGTGGGGGGGTGCGGTTGACTGTTCAGCACATGTCAGATCAAGTGTTAGGTTTCAAATGACAGCATAGGTTCAGCACAGGAAATATGGGGCTCCGTTTATGAAGGCGTGTTGAACACTTGCCGCAGCTCATGGTGTCTCTTCAGTGCGGTGTTGCCCCCTTCGTCTTGCCGACGTTCGTTGTTTGCCTTCTGGCTTAGACCCTGCTCTTGTTGGCTCATTCCCGTTCGAATTCGGTACCGGGACAATTTGTATTTGGTGTTGTGTTGTGCCCCAGGATCGTTCCTCAGGCTGGTGGCCGACAAAGACTGGCTGAACTGCTGAAAAGGCAGGCACTGCTGCGCGCGTGAACTGGTCGACCGAGCATCCAGCGTTGTTGTTCTCACGGCTTTCTTTTGCTCGGGCGCTGCGCACTTTTGCGGGGTTGACCTTGAAAACTCATGGCTTCCTGCTTTTTCTGCTCGTCTGCTACAAGGCACAACAGCCTGAGGTCTCTGACTGCACCGTGGTGCAACCCCAAGTACTTCGGAAGCCCGGACAAGAGTTCCGAGGTATCCAGGGTTTCTGCACCAAATATTCAAGCTCAAAAATAGGCACGAAGGTGGTTCAAAGTACAACTGGTTTTTCTCAAAGAGCGCAAGCATCCAATGGTGAACCTTCTGCGGACTTTCGCGCAACCTTCAACAGCTCGTGTTTTCTTGCGAGAGACAACTGGCCTGTTGCGCTTCGGGATCTCTGGGGCGCCCGGACAGTTGCCGATTGCACCCTGCAGGAGGTCTTGGGGGCTGATACCACCCTGCGGAGGACCGAACATGTCGCTTTGAACAACCCAGGGAGTGCTGCTTTGAATCGCAAACCACGAAATGACACCGCAAGATGCCGGCGCAATTTGTTGCTCCTCCCACTTGGTTGGCAAAAACCATACGTAAGGTTGCTTGTGAACCAGCTCCGCCTTCTTGGCTTGAGCATGTTGAACTACATGGTAAACTGATAGAAACTACGCGGCGTCCGAGAACAGTACTCAAAAGTATTCAATAGTGCTATCCCTGCACAACGTGGCGACATTGCTGGCGGATGTCAGGAGCTCACAACCTCCGCACCATCCTGGCCACGCCGTGATTAGATCTGCATAGCTCCCAATGTGACATGCAGAAGCATGATTCTGATCCTACATGCCCACCAAACTTGCACCGATCCAAGCCGGCAACAGGTGGGGGCATTTTTGACTCGAGCAGCCCTCGATTTCTTGCCTGATGAAGCTTTCCACGGGAGTGGGTGGTGGCCCATCTTCTGGAGTAGACAACTCTGCCTCTTCCTGGCTCAGACAATTGCAGCCTTAAACACTGGCTGAAATCTCAGTGGGGGACGGCCAATACAGTTGGTCCGTTGCACCTCCTTGCCAGGGTTGAAACAAGTTGGCCCCAAGTTCTCTCAAATGAACAAATGTTGCCAGCTGGAATATGTTCCCGGCATTTGGGACCGGTTGCACGGCTTTTTGCCACAAAGTCAACTACAATACAAAAAAAAAAAACTGGATCAGCTCGCTGTAGCCGTTCAGGGATGTTCCAGGAACGATGCACCCTGGAATAGGCAAAGATTGCATTTTGGGGTCATGTACAGGACTCACATCAGCAAGCAGATCAGCGCACAATCTGACATTATTTCATCCATGCTTCCCTTGCACCTGACTCTCCCTCCTGTGCTGACAAACAACATCATGACATAGAAAGGCGCATGCCATCCCAAATCAAGACACATTGGCCTCCACCATGTCATGCACAAATTCTAAACATCCCGAGCAAGGAACACGTCAAGGGTCTCCAGCAACATGAATGATTCAAAACCAAAAATGGAAGCATCTCACTCTACCCATTGCGCCGCTGAGTTCTCGTCTCTTCCCAGGGAAGCATTAGACATGGCATGTCTCATGTTCATTTCAACTCAAGCGTGCCTCCCGCACTCTCTCCACGGCACGTTCTTCTCTTCGGCGCTTTCGCCGGCTCTGGCGCAGCTAGACTTCAGCGCGCCACTTGTTTGTGATGATGTGTGCCAATCAAATAAGCATAAGACATCTTGAGCTAGATATCCAAGCTCTCTCTCTCTCTCTCTCTCTCTGGTGAAACCAGCTCTGTGCAGCCTAGCAACTAAATATACATCCATGCACCAGCCTCCCAAGGGTCGTGCTTGATCGACTGGAGGCCATGCTGTCGGCTGAGGTACTTGGCGTCTTTGGCCTGCCTGGGCATTGTGCGGGGTCTGCAAAAACCAAGAGCCTGCATGGTCGATGTTCTGACATGCTCCAACAGGCTGAGAATACTGACGCGAGCCCGATTCAAAACGCAGCCTCGCTTCTTCTTGCTTGCGCCGCAAATACCCAGGCCTTGGTCTGACGCTTTTGACATCATTTGCGCCCCTACAAGTAGAGGGCAATGAACATGTGTGTGTGTGTGTATGTGGGGATGTAGGTCGTGCGCCTCAAATGATGAACTACTATGGATCGGGTGGGTCGACACGCAAACGAATCACACGACATGCAACTGTTCAACTTCGCCGATCCCTCGGCAAGGATCGAGTGGGTTTGTGGCTCTGTGGGTCGATGGGCCAAATTCTTCATGAAATGAAATTGCTCAACTTTCCAGATGACCTCTGCGTGGATCAGGTGGGTCAACGCACGAAACTCGCACAAAATGCAGCTTTCAACTTGGCCGATGAACCTGTCTGCGGGGATCTGGTGGGTCAACGCGCAATGACACACGAAATGCGCTTTCACTCAATGTGGCTTTCACACTTGGAAGTCGAACTTGTGCCGAGGTTAACACAACTCCTGACCTTGTGCCTGGCAGCTAGCATGCTCACATGGATTTCGAGTTGACAAAGCAGCCTGTGACTGGTCTGTTTCACAATTGTGCAACAGCCACGGTGCATGTGCGCGCAAGGCGTATGTCACGAGTATGCTGATGCAATTCCTTGCTTGTTTTGACAATTGCTGGTAGCTGCTCGACACTGATGGTGCATGCAGGGGGAGTCGAATGGCTGGCTTCGGACCCACATCTTTCTTCAAAGGATGTGCTTTCGACATATTCTGCATCTAGTCCTGTCAAGCCCACTCACTTCTCATGCCCAATGCCCAACAAGCTCACACTGGCTACAATACCTGGGCCAGGCTCCCTCAAGAATTCACAAGAAGGCACGCGCATTTCCAGCCGACGTGTGCCCCGCCAAGGGCAGTGGAAGGCCGGTTTCACAGCACATGCCCAACTGTTCTGTTCCGGTGTGATACTTTGGTTCCCAACATATCCATGGAATGTCAAGGAAACACTGATCAGCCCAGAACCTGGAGGTGTCGACAAGTCACAAGGCCAAACAGCACAAATTGGCGCAATAGTGCCTTCACGGGCAAACATTGCTGCTTTGTATTGTTGCTGTTCACCGTTACTTACATGTGCAAATCGCTCGTCCACCAAATCCTCATTGTCACATTGTGGGGTAGGCATGGGCATCAAACATATCTCTTGGCATAAAACATTGGCAAGCACCAAGGTACAAACACACCGAGGACGTCTCGCATGGCTGAGCTGAGCCCGCCGCTTGATGGGCTCCAACCGCCAGTTCTTGCTCCCCTGGATTGCAAGCTGTGCTGAAGGTATGGCAACCCGTCCTCTGCAGGTGGCTGTATGAAATCGAAAGGTACGCATGCGAGTCATCCCAAGGTTCAACCTTTTCCCGACTGGCTTTTCTGCGCAGTTCACGAAGCATCAAACCGTTCAGGCAAACCCTTCCGTGACTCTACACATGCTACACTTCTGAGCTCGTGACCTTGCTTGTGTTCTCGCCTCGCAAAGATGCAGCGAATCGGAAGCTAATGCCATACAACTTCGGCGCAGTACCAGGGAGGGTGAGAAAAATGAAAACGACAATTTGCGCCCAAAAACTTGCCTGCTGGCTCGCTTTGTTCCGTCAACATATCATACTGCCAACGAAGGCCTACCGGTTTTTCACCAGTTGACATGTCCAGAGATGCCAGCCCCTGCATGGACAAATTCATGTTGTGCAGATTCTTGGGGCTTTGATAATGCTGTACATGTCGTGTGTTGTGGCGAAACAGACTGGGACCAATTTCCAACAGAGTGATCACTTGCCCGTCAAGCAGTTCCAGGAACGCAACTGCCAGTGTCCTTGCCAAAAACAGCGCAATGCCTGACTTGGCGCGGCTAAGCACATTGCAAACTCATTGAGCATCGAGAACCATTGTTCCAAACAGCATTTGAGACTTGGCCGAATGTCATGTTTTCGATTTGCAGCAAGTTATAGCAAATTGCTGCACTTGCCGAAGCATCTCTCCAAATTCTTACCGAGGCCCCGGAAACTAAGTCGTGTCGGCACGCGCATGCCCCGCCTGGCACAGGCTTCTGAGGTGGTAGGGGAAGTCCCCAGCGAAGATCCTCTGGAGCAATTTGCCAGACCTGGAGGACGAACGTGTGAGCCTCTGGAACTGGGCATGTCTTGTTCCATTTTGTTCGTGTGCAGAGTTCGCAGCTACCATCCCTGTTTCAGCAGGCATACATCCACGCTTCAAAAAATGACAACTCGCTGAAACATTCTGATCAGAAACATCGGAACAAGTCGCTATCTCTACTTTGTACTGCGGGGTTAGTCTCAACAAATACCGATAAGTCCAAAGCCAGTGAAAAGGCGAATGAAGTCCCGCCCTCGCCAGCCCTTAGCACGTTGACAATACGTCTTGGTATGATGTCCAAATACATACTATATTATGCGAAGTCAAATGAGAGCGTCAACATGAAGCATGGTTGCCAACAACTGCTTGCAGTGTTACTTACTACTACCATGCCATGCCGGCTGCAAACGTAGCATGGTAAACGGTCAACATTCGTTATGCCTATCCCGGCCCGCAAAAATCAAGACCACTATACCAACTGAGATACTGTGATCTACGCTGTATTCATTGTGACGCCAAGCAGCCGGTACTGGAGACACTTGAAGGTACCATGAGAGGCAAATGGATTGCTATCATCTGTCTATTTTCAGATCTACGGAGCTGTGCAAACCAACGCAAAGTAACATGTTTTCCGGATTAATTAATCGAAGAAATTGCCTTAAACAGGCAGTCTCCATGACTGCCCATTTGCTTGCTAACACATGCTACTGTGCCCAATCAAAAAGATCGCTGTCACCCTGGGCAGCCTGAATCAAGCATCGGCAAGCTGTGACATGCTGTGACACTCTACATGCATCAAAACCCCTCAGGTCAAACCTTGCTAAGCTGAGACCACCAGCCGATCGCTGCAAAGAGCCCGGGAGGCGCTGCCAATACCTAAGTCGCGGCCTCCAATGAAAAGAGAAACTTGTACGAAAGGCTGCAGCAAACGAAGCGGATGTATAAGTTGTTCACTCAAGGCGTCCATAAAGCTGCTCAATGTAGAACACCCCTGGCTGTATTAACCAAGGCCTGCCCGGGAGTAGAAACAGAAAGCACGGATTCTGAATCCATCGCCACGCAACCCCAAGGCATGCAGCGCTGGCAGCACATCCCGCAGCCGCGCTGCGGGGATGCGCCAGGCCTGGCCCCCGACATTTCGCACACACAAAGCGTCTGTTGACCATTGAATCCAGTGTCCGGTTACGATCCATGTCAGCCACTGAACCACCAAATGCATTTAATGCATTTACATGGCATGCCCCCAGCCCGAAATGTGATTGTTCTGACTGGTGTGTTCCAGTACAGCAACACGTTGATGTTGCATTGGAAGGGTATTGTATTGCTGACAATGGTCAAG